GACTCGCCGAGACCGAAAAACCGACTTCTGCACCTGGTCCATGAAGTTTCAATCGCACTGTATATGCGTGCCCGCACGTGGTATTTTGTGGAAGAGCCACACTCAAGGGGCCAAAGAGCCACCTGTGGCTCGCGGACGCGTTTTGCCAACCACTGGTCTGGTCAAACTCAGAGAACACTTCAGCAACATCCAGGGGACCTTGTAGGAGGTCTGGGAGCAGGCACTGATTCATTGCCAGGGGGTGACCAACCAGGTATTGTCTCATGCCCCTTGAAGGAGACACTAGAATTTTCAAGAAAGTGCTGGTCTGCCATGGCAAGTGACTGGTCTGCTGAAAAGTGTCCCTGGGCTCACAAGGGCATGCATTACACATGTCACATAACTACCCCATGACCCAACAACAGATCTGAAATACAGCTCCAATGGAACAGTGATGATAGAGTTTTCTGTTTTACTGTGTGGGCAATCTTTTTTTGAGTCCCTTCTAGCAGGGTTACTAATGGTTGTTAGCTTTCTCCCAGGCTTTGACTGGAATGGCCCATCTTCTGAGCCAGACTGGCTCTGTTGTGCACTGCTTAGCAGATGGGGGGCCCAGGTTCTAGGTGGGCCTCTCAGAAAGGCACCTCGAATTTGGGCTAGAAACACTCAGATGCTGATCAGAAACTTCCTGGCATCATAGAGAGACCTGAAAGTAAAGACCTTCCTATTTCAAGTTGCATGACTAATATAAGGTGATTCCCCCAAGGTCAGGAGCTAGGCGGTTCTGTCTCCTGTCCAGTAGGCAAGGCTCAGGGAACCAGATCTTCCTGGGCTTGCCTCAGGACCCCCTAGCCAGTTCCTTGCCAAGGGTGTGAAAATGAACAAGGACAACTGGGACAAAAGCCTGTCTGGGGCCAGGACTTCTAGCCTCCTCTGGCTCATCTGACGGGGTGTGTGGCATGGAAACAGAAGAACACGGACTCACAAATGCTCATTGGATTGTTTATTTTGTACCAGGTAGTTTTTGCCTTTCTTTTTTAAAGCGGAAATGGATTCATGATTACAAAGCCTGTGACATTATGGGCCTGCATGGTCCTTGAATTGCTCACACAGTGAACACTTGTTATCTGAGGAGACCTATGCTCCTCCTCCTAGGCCTGGTCAGGGTCCTGGAGTGGAGCTATGTCTGAAAGGCCAGCTATCAGAGTGGAATAGCAGATGTTGTACAAAGATGTCACCGAACCTTGTAGTGGTTCATTTGGGCGGGGTGGGGGGGGGGGACAGCAGATCCCTTGTGCAGGTGGTTCTGGCAGTAGCTGTGAGCACAAACATGACACTACCAGAAGTGCCCACCCCACTTGAACCACTTGCTGCACTTGGGCATTGGACCTCCCTGGCACTGTCCAAGGGCTGAGGAACCGAGAACTCAAATGCCTGGGTGGCATTGGATCCCCAATCATTCTTGCCTGTCTCCTGAGCCTCTTGTTTGGCTTCTTTGGTACCGTCCTTGTGTATTCTTGGGTCAAGCTGTCCCTAGAGTAGGGCTGTCCTCCAGCACATTAGAGATTATTCCTCTCATTCCTCAATCTCAGTTCTACCCAAAGCACCTCAGAGACAATGTTCCCCTTAGGGTTGCTGTGGGAATGGACAGAACACCCTCCGATGTCCTGGCGGTGGGGGGAGGGGGTTGTCTTCAGCTCTGTTGCTGGCAAATCTCACCTCTATTAGGTCACAACAGGATTCGCTTTAGTTTCCATTTCTTCCCCATAGGAACTCTTCTCACTACCCAAGATGGGCTCACTTTGGGATACCTGCATTTGTCTTCCCAAATCACCCTCCCCAAACCCTGAGACTCACACTCCATTAAGGCTTTTGCTTTCCCAGATTTCTGATCTCTTATTTCCAAGTTGGATCTCCTTTGGTACTTTTCGTTTTAATTACTGATTTTGGAGGTTAGGTACATAGTCAGCTCTGTGGAAACAAATCATTGCACTGACTCACTCTCATGCCAGCCTTATTCTCCTTACCAGAAGAGTCCTCCACGACCTGTGTGTTCCTCTCCTGCCATTACTTGAAGGTAGCTACAATGAATCATTTTGTTTGCTCTTGCCTTAGATACTTTTCAAAGAACCTAACTTACATAGAGTCAGTACCAAGGAGAATGACAATTTCATTAGGTAGCCATGGCTGAAGAAAGCCCATAGAAAGATAATCATAAATATGTACTTGAACATAGAGGAGAGACTGGGTGTGGAATGAGAGAACAGCCAAATTCAAGTGATCTTCACCAAGGAGGAGAGGATACTACAGTGGTTTCTTTGTAGTTCATTTTCTCTAACTCTTGTGGAGAACTTTGGTCCTAATACTCACTCTGAATAGGGAGATTCAAGGGAAACATGGGAAAGCACCACTATGCTGCTTCTGGGTCCTTCTCCCATCTCTTCCACTAAGTGGTGTCATTCCTCCTCTCTGACTGTCAATCCTTTGTTTCTGAAAGGGAACCTAAAGGCATTAGGGAAGAGTATTCCCCAAGGGCCTGGGCATTTTCTGAGTATATGCATGTGTAATGTTTTCTTCATTTAGTTTTGTCTGCAGCTATGTAAGGTAATGTTCTTCATATCAGTAACTGACCACTAAGCTATAATAAAAAAGAATTCAGTGGTAAAACATGACAAGAATATAGTCTTTCCAAAAATAATTTAGAAAAATCATGGAACAAACAAATTATAGCACAATGAACAGCAACAAATCATGGGGCGATAGAAATATGATCGCCTAAATTATGATACTCAAATTGGTCTGATTTCAGAAAAAATAAATAAATATGCATTCAAAGAAGGACAATATGGCTCATGCTTAGGAAAAAATGAAATTAGCACGAACTACCCCTGAGAAATCACAGACATTGGTCTCAGTAGCCAAACTAGGAAATGTCAACTAGGATATGTCAGGGGTGAGATGCCAGTGTTGGCAGTCTGCATGCAGAGCCCTGCTTCTCTTCCATAGGCCAGAATGCCTGGGCCCTGGGCTGGTAATTTCTCAAGTTTGAGGTGATTCTACTTCATGGAAATCCTGGAAAATCATTGAGCTTTGTTCCCAGATCAAGCAGGGGGCGGATTGAGGGAAGGTGGACTTGCATGTGGGGGAGGATGTGCAAGAAAGGATGCTCTGCAAATTCACTTCTTATTCGATCACAGGCACCACACTTAATAAAAGGAGTGTGCAGCTCACACTTTGGGCACAAACCAGGATGGGTATCCTTGCTGACATCAGTCAAGGAAAATAAGCCATGTGTCCAAGACAATGGTCTTGTGTCCTCTGGGCCAGGACAGAGGGCAGCATCCTAAGCGCACCCAAGAGTAATCTGATCATGAGGCATTTCACGTGCTGGGCCATGACAGCCAAAACATCTTTAAAAAATCGTGCTCAGGGGCCAGAGGAGGCAATGGCTGGTCCAGAACACTTGATTTTACTTTTGTTCCCAGTAGGGCATAGATGACCTTCTGGACTCGAAAGTTAGACCAACATGGACCAGGAACTGGGTCATTCAAGAGTCCTTGCATTATGAGACCATCTAGCTGTCATTAAGTTCAAAAAGAGCCAGGCAAATAATCTCGTCACACCTTTAGGGAAAGTCTTCCCAGATCAGTGAAAGAGATCACTCAGAGCCTTCAAGTTCCTGGGCACAGGGTATTTCCTCAGATTGAGGCTTAGGTGAGTATAGTCTCCCTACCTTCTCATCATTCCTACTGACCACCTTGTCACAGATCAGGGACATTAACCTACCCCCATATTGAGTGTGAGGAGCACAAGTTAGACTAATAAATACCTCAGGGTCACACCAACATGAAGCAACTTGCCAAGTCATAGAATTGGGAGCCTGGCCTGAAGCTATGCTGGGCCCTGGGACAATGAAGATATTGGTTTTGATACGTTAACAAGTGCTTCTGTTGTCAGGTGCTCTTCTTCCCTGTTGAGGGGGAGGTTTGTGTCCAGCACATTGAAGCTGTTACTGCCAGCCTCTTTGTTCCTCAGTAGATGGGTGAAGAATGCATCACTTTATGGGCATTTCTAGGTGAAGCAGGGGTGAGTATTCCCTAGGATGGCTGAAGCTTAAGCTTGTAACTACTGAAACTTGACATGTTTACCTTTTTCATGGGTGATTTTCTGAAATGTTTCCACACTTCTTGATGCCATACATAGGACTGTCTGCCCACCATGTACTAGCTGCTGGATGAAATGACTCCCTTCCTCACAAGAATTCCTCAGTTCGTTTAGGGCGATGGTGGTTCAATGATGCCCTCAACATCCACTGAGACATGTTAGCAAACCACCCTGAGGTCAACCCAGGTGTGGGGCATTTTCCTGAGGTGTGCCACACTATCTTTGGTGGCTGTGTGTTCTTATACAAGAGAAAATGAGGCCCCTGAGCACTTAGAACAACACCTACACAGACATGATTGATCATACATGAACTGTTCAACATCTTACATTCTAGAAAGGAGCTGGGTCGCAGCTGAGGGGGGCACTCCTAAGCCTGCCTGCTCCATGTGGACAGTGAGTAGCAGGAACTCTGCACAGGGAGGTTTAAAGAGCACTTAAGGAGAGTTTACAATGAGAGGTAACAATATGATGCCTTTCTACTGTGTAGGGGAAAGGGGAAATTCAGCTGGGACTCATTGGCTCTCCCATGGGTACGGTGACAGCAAGAGACATTCACAAACATTGCTGAAGAAAGAGTGGGAGAGTTTGGCTGAGGTAGGTACGAAAGCTACAACCACGACCAGCCAGGGGACCTCTGGGTCATCACTGGTGATGGGTGTTCACAATTGCCACTAATTATGGTCACAGTACAATAGCTAGTAGAGGTCAGGGGTATCTTAAGCAACCTAATAATACAGTCCCAACATGAATGATGTGAAATGGACAGAACTGATGAAAGAAAGAGACCGTCTTATAATAGAAGTTGGAGACTTCAATATCCTTCTCAATGCAATGAATTGTGCCCCGCCCTGCCCTACCAAATCATTTGTTGCAGCCCCAACTCCTCATGTGACTGTATTTTGAGATAGGCCTTTAGAGAAGAAAAGAAGGTTAAAAGAAGGTTAAAAGAAAAACAGCAATCAAAGGACATCATCAGTGTCCTTTGAAGAAGAGGAAGAGAAGTCAGAGATCTCTCCATTCATCCGTTCATTCTTTTCTCTTCTTCCTCTTCTCCTTCTTCTTCCCCCATCTCTCTCTCTCTCTCTCTCTCTCTCTCTCTCTCTCTCTCTCTCTCTACCTGTGCATAGAAAAGGCCATTTGAGGGACATAGCAATTAGCAGCCATCTCCAAACCAGGAAGATAGGCCCTCCCTTCCACCCTAGAAACCAAATTTTCCAGCACCTTGATCTTGGACTTGTGGCCTCCAGAATTATGTGAGACAATACATTTCTGTTGTGTGAACCACCCAGTCTGTGGGACTTGTTATGGCAATCCCAGCAGACTAACACACCCCTCTGTCAATAATGGATAGAACAACTAGAAAGAAGCTCAATAATGGAATCAAAGAACTGAACACCACAAGAACCATCTCTAGTGAAAGACATCTATAACAACCCCTCCCCGCCCCCAACAACAAGAGAATAAATGTGCTTCTCAAGTGCACCAGTAACTTTCTTCAGGATAGTCCACATGTTTGACCACAAAGCATACCTCAATAAATTTACAAGGATTGGAACAAAAGGATTGAAATCAGGCAAAGTCTGTTCTCTGACCAACATAGAATGAAAATAGACATCAGTTACAGAAGGAAGCTTGGGATAAACAAATGTTTGAATGATAAAGAACCCAATACATGAGTAGAAAAACTTCTCCTGCATTATCATTCCTAACCATTGAAGTAGATACTCTTCCTTCAAGGAGGGTAAACAAAACCCCTGACCCCTGAAGTGGCTGTGGCTTCACAGAGTAACTTCCTTCCAAAGAAGAGAATGTGGAAAGGGAAAATAAAGGGTCACTTTACAGTGGGGAAACCTGACAAACTCTACCTGTGTCACCTGATCAAGGTCAGCATCAGCAGTGAAAATGTGTGATCATAATATGCTGGTACCCTTCATATGATGTGATGATTATGGTCTTTAACTCCCTGGTCCTCCTCCCATAAACCCGGAGCCCCAGTCTAAGCATGAGAAACACATCAGACAAATCCCAGTGCAAGGACATCCTGTAATTGACCTACCCAGAACTGCTCAAAATGATCAAGGTCATCCAAAGGAAATAGGGTCTGAGATACTCGCAGGGCCAAGAGCAGTCTTGAGAAGATGCGGCAGCTGAGAGGAATGTGGGATCCTAGATGTGATGCTTAAACAGAGAAAAAGACAGCAGGGAAATATTTTAAAAGCAGGGCATATTAATAAAGAATGGACTGTGGCTTATAAGAACACATTGATAATAACTCATGAGCTGCTACACATTCAGGACACAAATGTGACTTGTTAATCATCAGGCAAACTAGGTTTGGGGTATATGGGGACTCTCTGTAAATGGTTTGCCAATTTTCTGTATAAAGAAAACTTTCAGCATGAAGTCCACTCTATTTTTCAAAATTTATAAGAATGAAAGAGGACCTTGAATGGTGACTGATGTGTTTTTAAAAGCAAACTATAAAGGAAACATGAGCACACAGAGCCAGCCAGCGTGAAGCCAAACCTTTCGGAATTACCTTCAGCTCTTAGCTCTCCCTGAGCCTCCAAGCTGGATTCCTCCACAAACCAGGCCTATTGCTCCTCATTAACATCTCTGGAATCTGCAGGTCCTCTCCAGCCCCGTGCCAAGGCCTAATCCAGTCTCATAATTCCTGTCAGGAAAGAGACAGGAACCCACTATGGCCCGGCCTGCCATGGGAGCCCTGCATGGTCAGTCTCCCAGGTGGCTTTTGCATAACAGAAGTGTGATTCCATCCTTCTTCTGCACAGAGTCTTTCAGTGTCACCCACAGGAGAAAAGCACCAGGATGACTGGGCCTGTCCACTAAGGCCATGTGTTGCCAGCACCACAGATCTGGGGCTTCTCCCTGACCTGGCCTACTTGCAGTTCAGCAGGTGTTCTGCTAGATCCTCTCTGACCCAAGGACTCAGCTAAGGAGGCTCAGGAACTACCCCTGGGGGGCAACCTGGTGACCACCCCTGCCATCTGCTACAGCCTTTCATCTTCTCAGATTGCCTGTATAGATCCCAAAGTCCAAGATGGTTTTGTGGGTAACTGCCAAGGCATTCCTGCCACCCTCTCTGCCTCAGCCTCAGCCTCAGCCTGTAACACCAACCCCTAATAATCACCTGAACAAGGCCAATAGTTTAATCAAGCATTTGTGTGTAACAAAGGGAATTATTTGAAAAGTAGAGGCCCGGTGCATGATATTCTTGTATGGGTTTTGTCCCTAGGCCTAGCCAGTGATCAGGGCCTATCATGGCCTTCCTGCTGCCTGCTGGAGCCTTTCATTGTTCTGTGCCGCCCCCTGGTGGGCAGCACATGGAATAGTGAGCAATCAAACTCCCCATCTCCCATTGACCTCCTGAGGGGACACTTTGCATATTAGGCTTTTATAGATAGATGATAGATAGATAGATAGATAGATAGATAGATAGATAGATAGATTCATAGATACATAGATACATAGATAGATAGATAACTTGCAGTCACAGTGATTAGTCACATGTTCACATGACAATGATTATCATTTATCAATCAATAGGGCACTCACCAGGAAGATATCTCACATCCTGCCAGCTCTGCCTGAACCATACTGGCTGAAAGGGGATACTCTTCTGGGGGCTGTCATGTGAAGATAACTGTATATGAACATTATTACCAGGATCTGAGCGGTTGTCTGTTGGGACACAGGCAAAGCAAAGCCCCAAGGTGTGCAGACTGGGGCCAGGGTGGAGCAAGAGTGGGAAGCAGTGGTGATGGGGGCAACAGGCAGGGCCCCAGAAGGAGGATACCACCATGCCAACAGGGCCAACTTGCTGCCAGCCAACTTATCACCACTCATCTGATGGGTATATTGGAGGAGCTCAGGAGCCTACCGGTGCAAGAGGCATGAAGGAATTCCTGCAGCCAGCTTCCAGTGGGCCGGCTCCTCTTTTGAACCCTTCTATCCCTTCCCAGGGACTTAAAGGCACACAATCTGGCATCTCACTTTTCAAGGGAAAATGTACATGGACCTTTCTGCACTTCCCATGGCAATACCCCCTGAAAACTAATAGGGATCAGAGTGTTTTTCTTCCTTTCGATGCAAGGTCACAATATTTACCTGTGAGTCTCTGCTGCCTTCTGAATGGGCATGGACATGGCCAGTTGCATCTATTGGATCTACAGTGGTTGGTAGTTACTTTTCATATTATTATCACCCCAGACCACACCACTCTGTCCTCTACACATTTTTTTCCATGACCTTTTGTTGAACTTGCAATGCAATTGGAAACTCAATAGGTCATCTGCACAAATTGCTGCTGGGTTACTTCCCTACTAGATGATAGCTTATTTGATTTGGGTGTGGAGTCCTTGCCAACAAGGTGCAACTAACCCACAGTTCCCCAGAATTCCAGTCCAAGACTAGATCATTTCGACTTTTGCATGCGGTTCTTCCATTAAAACCAACAATTTTTCTTCATTTCTTGTTAGTAAATCTGGCCCTTGCTTAAACTTGGCCAAGGTAAACTCAAGGAAACCTGTGGGGAAGCATGGGACTTAGTTGGAAAGTTTGTAAGGAGGAATCTCTGAAAGTTCCAGGGCCCCCAGGGGGAGCTGGCAGAAGGTGGCCACCCCACTTCATATTGAGGATCAAAAGTCTACAGAATGCCAGGATGTAACACGACCCCTCCTCCCAAAATAGAGCCCTTAATACCTAAGGCCCCACCATCAGAGGAACTCTTTCCTGATTTTCTGCCTCTGGTGTGGGAAGGCTCAACTAGATCCTCAGTTATGGGATCATGTGTCAGGCAAGCTGTTAGGAGAGCTTTTGGCTTGCCCACTTATGCAAGATCAGCAAAGTAATCAGATACATGAACAACTCTCCTTTAATACCTTTAAAGAAATGAGGAAAATTATTAGAGAAAGTAGGCCTAACAGTCCATTTACAAAAGGACTCCTTAATGCCTTGTTGAAAAATTACCATATGATGCCTTGGGACTGGCAGATTTTGGTCAAAACAACTCTGGACATCAGTCAACATTTATTATGGAGAGTAGAGCATAATGAGATCTGTGAATAACAGGCTGTTTGTGGGTGTTCACTGGCGACCCCACCTGGGAGCCCTCTGGGCTGCATTCTGGCTATAAGTCCCAGGCACTATAAGACATCTTCTGAGGGACAGACACAGACCCTGACCGGGGTAAGGAGTTCCACGGGTTTGCTGGCGCCAGGAGATTTGAGATTTGGATTTTGTGATTGCGGAGAACTGAGACTAAAGGGGGCATCCTGAGGAACTGACCAGACCATGCAGTGCCCATAAGAGAGGAGCGTTTCCCAGATCATGCAGTGCTGGACTGTGATTTACAACACGGAGGAACAGTGTAATGCAGGGAAATTCAACACTCTCCTAAATACCTGGCAGGACTAAGGCGAACCAGGCTGAAGAGTAGAAGAACCGAAAGACCATCACTACTACAAATTTTTTCTTTTTCTTTTTCTTTTTTTAATTTTTTCACCTTTTTAGTAAGAAACCAATTTTTTTTCTCTTTTTCTTCTTTTTCTATCACCTGATTTTACCCTTTCAATTACCACATTTTTATTTTTAACCAGTATTATTACTGCTACCATTTTACCATTTTTTAAAGTGCCATTTTATTTTCTCTTTATTTTCTTTTGGGATTAGTGTTCTCCATTATATTTTCATCGTTCCTTTAGCATTAATTTTCCCTATCTCAATTTCACCTCTCTGCTAAAACCCTCTTCCTTACTTTTCCCCTTTTGGTGTCCTGTTTCTCTTACCCTATTCCTGCTCCAGACTTTCCCAATTCCTTCTTTTTACCCCCTGTCTAATTCCACCCTACTTATATATCCTATTTCCAATCTACTGCTCTAAATCCTTATACACCTATTCTTTATCCTTCTTCACTTTCCAAACATTTTTTTCTCTTATCTTTCTATTGTTTTCTTGATTGTTGAATATATTGGGCTTTTTTTTTATTTGTTTGTTTGTTTTGTTTTGTGTTTTTTCTTCTTTTTTAGGACTGGTTGTGAGGTTGTTTTTCTTTTTCTTTTTCTTTTTCTTTTTTTTTTCTGCTGGTTTTTCCCTTCCCTCCCCCACCCCACCCCGGTTATTTTTGTGCTTCTGTTTTCCCTTACCCCTCTGGATATTATTGGTGGTTTGTAGTTTGCATTCATCTCCAGTGATCTGTTGCTGGAATTTGTTGAGATTAGTGGCAGTTCTATTGGAGTTTGCTCCTCATACAAATAGTCTCTTCCCCGCTTCTACTTCATTCTCTTTTTTCACTCTCTTTTTTTGCCCCCTCTTTTTTCCCAATTCTATTTTTGCACTCCTTTTTTGTTTGTTTTTTTCTTATTTTTCTTTTCTGTTCTCTCTTTTATCTTCTTCTCTTCTTTCTCCCTTATCCCCTAATTCTCTTAATTCGGGTGGTCACCTTTATTTGGGGTTATTAATATTGTGACTATACTTGTGTTCAGTGCCTGGTACGTTGTGCCTTGCTCTGTTGTATTTTGTGCCTTTAAATCAACGCAGCAGATCCAAGCAACAGCAGCCCCCTGATCACCGCAGCCTCCTGATCACCACAGCCTCCTGATCACCACACCCTCTGTCTGTGGAACAGCAGCTGTACGTGAAGCCTCACCCCACAAGCCAGAAGAGCCAACACAGCTGTAAACAACACCCACCAGAGGAGCTGCTGCAAACTGGAAAGCAGCTGCTACCGCAACCGTCTGAGCAGCAACCACAACCCAAGGAGCCCCTGCCACCCAGGGAGCAGCCACTGAACATCTCAACATCTACATATGTCAGCGAGATCAAACATGGGTAGGCAAAGAAACCCCCAAAGGAAAGAAAAGGAGGACTCGCCAGAAAAGCAGATAAGTGAGACAGAGATATGCAACATGACGGAAAAAGAATTCAGAATAAGGTTCCTAGAGTACATGCACCAGATGTTCAAGAAGCAAGAAGAAACAGATGAAAAACTCAACTACTTATGCAAGAAGCTAGAAGAAACAGATGAAAAAATCAACAACTTAAGTAAGTCCCAAGAAGAAATGAAGAGCGACATAGCTGCAATAAAAAACTCCATTGAAAGTATCAACAGTAGACTGGGAGAAGCGGAGGACCGAATTAGTGAATTAGAAGACAAGGAAGCAAAACACACTCAAACTGTACGGCAAATGGAGAAAAAAATTAAAAGACAGGAGGAGAGCCTAAGGGAGCTTTGGGACAACATGAAATGAAACAACATACGAATAATAGGGGTGCCAGAACAACAGAAAGATGAACATGGATTAGAAAACCTATTCGAAGAAATAATATCAGAAAACTTCCCTGAGGTGGGGAAGAAAAAAGTCACACAAGCCCAGAGAGTCCCAAACAAGGTGAACCCGAAAAGACCCACACCAAGACACATCATAATTACCATGGCAAATGTTCAGGATAAAGAGAGAATCTTACAGGCTGCAAGAGAGAGATGGAAAGTAACATACAAGGGATCTCCCATTAGATTATCAAATGATTTCTCAACAGAAACACATCAGGCCAGAAAAGAATGGACGGAAATCTACAAAGTGATGCAAAGCAAAGGACTGAATCCAAGAATACTCTATCCAGCAAGGCTATCATTCAAAAGTGAAGGGGAAATAAGAAGCTTCACAGACAAAAAAGGGCTAAGGGAGTTTATCACCACCAAGCCAGCCATGCAAGAAATGCTAAAGGGACTGGTGTAAAAAGAAGAAATATCAAGCTCAGAAAGAAAACAGCCACACACACACAAAAAAAGAAATGGCTACAAACAAGTACCTTTCAATAATAACTTTAAATGTAAATGGACTAAATGCTCCAACCAAAAGACATCGAGTGGCTGAATGGATAAAAAAACATGACCCATACATCTGCTGTCTACAAGAGACCCACCTCATTAGAAGGGACTCACACAGACTGAAAGTGAAGGGATGGAAAAATATCTTTCACGCAAATGGAAAGGAAAAGAAAGCTGGGGTAGCAATACTTATATCTGACAAAATACATCTCAAAGTGAAGGCCATAACCAGAGATAAGGAAGGCCACTTCATAATACTAAAGGGATCAATACAACAAGAAGATATAACCCTGGTAAACATATATGCACCCAATGCAGGAGCACCCACATACATAAGAAAACTTCTGGAAGATATCAGGGGAGAGATCGACAACAATACAATCATAGTAGGGGACTTTAATACACCACTGACATCACTGGATAAATCCGCTAGACAAAAACTCAGCAAAGAAACAGCAATCCTAAATGACTCACTAGATCAGATGGACTTAATTGACATCTTCAGAACACTTCACCCCACAGCTGTGGAATATACATTCCTCTCAGGTGCTCATGGGACATATTCAAAAATAGACCACATATTGGGTCACAAGCAAAGTCTCCACAAATTCAAGAAGATTGAAATCATAAAAAGCTTCTTCGCAGACCACGATGGCATAATGTTAGGAATAAACTACAATAAAAACAACCCAAAATACTCAAACACTTGGAAGCTGAATAGCATGTTATTAAATATTGATTGGGTTACCGATGACATCAAAGAAGAAATTAAAAACATCCTGGACACTAATGACAATGAAAACACAACAATCCAAAACCTCTGAGACACAATGAAAGCAGTCCTGAGAGGAAAGTTTATAGCTCTACAGGCCTATCTCAAAAAACAAGAAAAAATGGTAGTCAATCATCTAACTCTACAACTCAAAGAATTAGAAAGAGAGCAACAAGAAAACCCCAGAGTGAGCAGAAGGAAGGAGATAATAAAGATTAGAGCAGAAATCAATGAAATAGAGACCAAAAAAACAATACAGAAAATCAATGAAACCAAGAGCTGGTTCTTTGAAAGGATAATCAAGACTGACAAACCCCTAGCCAGGCTCACCAAGAAGCAAAGAGAGAGGTCCCAAATAAACCAAATCAGAAATGATAGAGGCGAAATAACAACAGACCCCACAGAAATACAAATGATTGTTAAACCATACTACGGGCAACTCTACTCCAACAAACTAGACAACCTGGAGGAAATGGACAAATTCCTAGAAAAATACAACATTCCAAAACTCAATCAGGAAGAATCTAAAAACCTCAATAGGCCAATAACTATGGAAGAAATTGAAGCAGTCATCAGAAAGCTTCCAGCAAACAAAAGCCCAGGGCAAGACGGCTTCACAGGGGAGTTCTACCAAACATTCAAGGAAGAACTAAAACCTACCCTCCTCAGACTACTACAAAAAATTCAAGAGGAAGGAACGCTTCCAAGCTCATTCTATGAAGCCAGCACACCCTAATACCAAAACCAGGTAAAGACATCACAATGAAAGAGAATTACAGGCCAATATCCCTCATGAACATAGATGCCAAAATCCTCAACAAAATCTTAGCAAAATGGATCCAGCAGTACATCAGAAGGATCATACACCATGACCAAGTAGGATTTATCCCAGAGATGCAAGGATGGTACAACATCCGTAAATCAATAAATGTGATACATCACATAAACAAATTGAAAGAAAAAAACCACATGGTCATATCAATTGATGCAGAAAAAGCATTCGACAAAATCCAACACCCATTTTTGATAAAAACTCTCAGAAAGGTGGGAATAGAAGGATCATACCTCAACATAATAAAAGCCATATATGACAGGCCCACAGCCAACATCATACTCAATGGACAAAAACTAACACCATTTCCCCTAAGAACAGGAACAAGACAGGGATGCCCACTCTCACCACTCCTGTTCAACATAGTACTGGAAGTATTAGCCATTGCAATTAGGCAAGAAGAAGAAATAAAAGGCATCCAAATTGGAAAAGAGGAAGTAAAACTGTCCCTATTTGCAGATGACATGATATTATACATACAAAACCCTAGAGACTCCATCAAAAAGCTACTAGACTTAATACATGAATTTGGCAATGTAGCAGGATACAAAATTAACCCCAAGAAATCTGAGGCATTTCTATACACCAATAGTGAACTTTCAGAAAGGGAGATCAGAAAAACAATCCCATTTACCATCACACCAAAAAAATTAAGATACCTAGGAATAAACTTAACTAAAGAGGTTAAAGACCTCTTCTCAGAAAACTACAGAATGTTGAAAAAAGAGATAGAGGAAGACATAAACAGATGGAAGAACATACCATGTTCTTGGATTGGTAGAATCAACATCATTAAAATGTCCATACTACCCAAAGCAATCTATACATTCAACGCACTTCCCATTAAAATACCAATGGCCTTCTTCAAAGATCTAGAATGAACTCTCCAAAAATTCATCTGGAATAAAAAAAGACCCCGAATAGCTGCAACGATCCTGAGAAAGAACAAAGTAGGTGGGATCTCAATGCCAGATATCAAGCTGTATTACAAAGCCACTGTTCTCAAAACTGCCTGGTACTGGCACAAGAACACACATATAGATCAGTGAATAGAATAGAGAGTCCAGAAATTAGCCCGAACC